CGGGGGCCCTATTTAGGTTTAAATAGAGGTCTGGCTGTCAAGCGCAGACACCCCCGGGACCAGGCTTTTTTTGCGCTTGACAGCCAGACACCCCTATTTAGACCTAAATAGGGCCCCCGTAAGGGCTGCTGCTAACAGTAGACAAAATTTGGCCCCTCAGCCTATCTACACCCAGTCTGTAACTCTTATATATAGTCTTCACTTCTAATAGTCTACATAGCAAGTTTGATAAATTACCGAATCATACCCCAAGCAATTAATCCTTACCGATTCATACCCCAAATTTTAATATAGGGGTATAATTCAGTAATTAGAGATATGATTCGATAAGGATTTATAGTTTCGAGGTATGATTCGATAATTAGCTCTATAACCTCTCTAAGAATCGTAACTTTTACGGATTCGTCATTCGTTAATAATAAAGATCTCTCTTCTCAAATCGGCTATATAATAGCCCTAGCTGACGCTTAGAATAAGGCTAATATCATCCATTAATAATCGATCAAATACTGTCGAGTCACTAGAAGCGTATTGGCCTCCGAACTTTACGTATTATTATCTCTGAAATTCGACGTTATAGCTATTATAAAATCCACTTTAAACTAAATCTTCTCTAATACTCCTTAGAAAAAGATACCTCTCTCTATATATATAGACTTGAAATCTCTATATAAATATCTTATTAAGCTAGAGACGACTTAAGAGAAAAGATTAATAATAGATATTCTATATCTAAGATAGTCGTATAAACGATAAGAGATTATTAAGATTCTATAAATTAGAGGAGATAAGAATTTAGCTAATTTAATAATAAAGAATAAGGGATATAACGCACTATAACGTCTAATAGATATGAATTATTTAAAATTTAGATCTAGAAGGCTAGGTGAAAAGATAAGATACTAATATTAATTAATAGAAAGTCGTCTTAACGTAGTGTTATTAGAAATACACCTAGTATAATCGAATTTATATCCACTATAGCAGAGGGAGTAATTGCGATTATAAAGGTTATGGAGAAGGAATATTAATATATAAATAGCCTTATTTTCTATTTTTTGCCAGTGTTAAAACGACTCAACACTCGCTACCACTAGTACCCATTCGGTCTAGTCATGGATATATGAAGGCATTCTCTATACATAGATATCCTTCTTCCTTAGACATCATTAAGACTACCACATCTAATGATAGATCTCATTATAGCAGTAACTGCATACCCAGGTATTTACCAACAATTCCCATTTTCCTGCAAGGAATCGTCGAAGAAGACACGCAAGAAGCGCTTTTCGGCATCATGTCTGCAGTCGCGCCCGAGAAGAGGAAGCCATCCAATATTTGAGCCAAAGGGAGATCGGGAATGCAAATAAAGCTTTTGTGACTAAAATCATGTGTGCTTAAGACGATGAAGCTTTATCCGGGAGACCAGACTACTAGAGAAGGAGCTCTTGCAGGATGAGTGATTTACGGAGCATGCTGAGAAGCCTGTGAGATGGTGTTCGAAGGAGAAGTGGCAGCAGATGCAGCAATAGCATAAGCAAGCTTCGGGTTTCTGAACTTGGCTCAGCGATCTCTTCGCCGACGATGGGGGACAATTTGAAACCTCATGGATTAGGTCGACCGTCATATCTGCATGTTGGTGTACCACCAGCGCAAACAGTTAGTTTGCTTTTACATAAACACCGCTATGTTCAGATAGGAGCTCTGCTGACGTTCACTGTCCTGGACGGCCACTCAATGGTCAGAGCTGCGAATGATCTTCTCCATACCCCGCGACGGATCAAACTGCGTAAGGGGGACGTAGAGAATGGTATTTTCAAGGGAGATTATGGCTACTGATGAAGCCCGAAATAGATGTATTACGAAATTGGCTTTCAAAGCGCCGGAAGAGATGGTAGATGATGTGAGAACCCAGGTGACTTATTTACCAGACCGCCTCTTTGAGCCACACTACGCCTACAAGAAGGCCATTCTGGCGCCCAATATCTGTGCTCTAAGCTTTTGTGTTACTACTGTACTGTTTCTTCACTCAGAATTTCGATCATCAGAGTCAAACCTTTCGGCCAAGTTGCCCTCCGACTCCAACATCCATGCTCTAGAGACCTTCCCACCCAGTGTGTGTGGGCTAGATATACGACGTGAAGCCTGTGGCAAAAGGACGCTAGTGTGACCAACCATAGCCCATTGCCACTTGACACACCGTCAACATGCCCCCGTAATCCCAACTGAGAGACATTTGGGATTTGAGGTGGAAGTTTTTCCCCGGGCGCACTTGGATGCCAGATCTCGAAGGTTAAACGAATCATGGAAACCAGTGAACGGCGTCAGGCGGCAGGGAAGTCGCCGTGCGCCCGGTCTCCGAGGTGAGTGTAGGCCTCCATGCTTAATTGGCTTTATCACCTCCACTCACGCGGAGGGTAAACGAAAAGTATTCGATCTACGTCCCTACAAAGCGAGAATACTCGGCTTTTCTATCTGCTTATTGAATGCAATATGTTTTTTCAACTCCGAACTGAGATGAAGAAGGAAGTGCTTGCGTCTGTACTCGAGTGTGTGACTGTGCACCGTCTTACATGATGAGCTTTCTTCTATGTACCCACACGGAGGAAGAATAAAGCATCCTACCTATGTCCCTGCAAGGCGAACATACCCCTATTCCTTCTTTATTATTGAGCGTAATCTCTTGTTCCGCTCCGGGCTATGAAAAAGAAGGAAGTGCTCCCGTCACTGCTAAGAAATGTTGATATCAGAATACTTTTTCCAAGCAATTCATCTCTGCTGTTATATGTTACCTGGATCGATCGTGTCTTGTCTATATTGGCAACTTATGTACATCTTCCTCTCTCAGTATTAGCAAAGCTAATTGTGTAGTCCTTTGGCCTGCTGTATACCAGTTGAGGTTTCACCCTCTCTCATAATACCCTGGGACGATTCTGACAAAATTCACGAATTTGTACGCCGCGTACCACGGATGGCATGGAGATATCCATGTGGATATGCAGAGATTTTTTTGTAGAAATGGTAGGTCAATCTTCGTAATGAGAATGAAAGTCACGACTTGATGAAAATCACCAGGGACTTTCGTTCGCTACGGTCCCGGCAAAGTCCTGATCATTCCAAATCATGGTCTGCAAGGTAAGCTTGTCATTTGTTTGAGGGAAAACCCGCGTCTAATTGGAAACTCCACTGGTAGATATATATGGCTTGAAATGCCCAGCAGTCTGCAGTAAAAGTTCAGCTTCTACGCTGATGGTACCCGAAGAGGGAGTCTGGACTACTGCCACTGCTGTTCACCACGAACGCATCCATCATAAGCCAAGACTCGTGTCGAGTATGATGTCCAATGACGCCCTCCGGGCGGCCGGATCTCGTGGGACTCGGTATTTCGACACATTTTGCAGGACTATTTGGGGGAAATAGATGCAAATGGCGGGTTAAACCCCAAAAACATGACTGTTGATTTCAATACCTTCGATTTCAGTTGCTGATTCTGAGCTCACTGCTTATAAGTAGAAGATCTATGATCGCTATCAAGACCGACTTCGTATTTGACTCAAAGATTGGCGTTATGACCGACCCAGAGCTGCATCTTATACTCAACGCTTTAGAAAACTACGCTTGGCGAATGGTTATCTACAAGAAATCTCCATCGCTGACTAGGCTTCATTTGGAGGGCATCTTGGGCTATGTAGGAAGAAACATCCAATCGGGGAATTGAGCGTAATGGGTGCAAACTACACCTTAGCAATGTTGGATGACCAAAATAAAATGGGAGGCGGCCGTCTTTCTCTTTTTCAAGATTCGATCGATTTAGTCACCAAAGCTGCCCTCCTAAGGGCCGAGTTTCCTGCGGAAGGCTTCTTATTAATGCTAGCCGGTTTGGCTCCATCGGAAGACCAAGAAAACATGCACCCGCTCACAATCATGTAGGGTCTGACTGCTCGGCAACGACCGCAAATGCCACGTTTTCTATCTTGCACACGACCGTGAGGCTTACCATAAAGTTGCCGACGACACCAGGACTACTTTCGCAGCTGCTGATGAGATACGTTCGGTTACTCCCCCCCCCACACCCGCCTCCAATGCAGGGTAACTTTCCAAGCCAGAGCCGGCCATGAACTCCTTTGGTATCGGCAGCAGAAATTGCCCCGGGCGGTCCATGGCGCTGCTGAACATCAACCCGTTATCGCACGCGCGAATTGGCTGTACGATGTCCGCCAGGCAGATGGAGACTCGGGCCGCGTGGGAGAGGGGTCTCCTAGAGCGCCGAAAGGAAGGCAGAGTGTAATTAAATTTCAGCCACGGGTAACTATTACGTCGATGAGCGAAGGGCCGTATCTCGTCTTCCAGGACCAGTTTAGAAAAAGATAGGTCATATGTAGTGGCGGCGTGACGGCTTATACGGGTGGATCTTGGCTTCAATAGAGATATATTGGTTTGTTTCCAAGACTTATCTTATACTTAAACACGGAACGGTGGGGTTGAGTGTCGAAAGTTTCGTAGGCGATAAAGCTAACATTGGTTTCTCCAGAAATTAATCACATAGACACCAAAGATTTGAATGATTGGATCATGCGATCAGTCTTCAAGGTTACCTCGAACTCAGTAGGGTCAACCCCGTGGTCTCATCGGTCTAAAGCCTGGACTTTGCTCGGCTCCCTCCAGCCCAAGGATTTAAGTGCCTCGTGTTTGCTGTCATCAACCCTGCCATCTCATCAGCAGACGTATTAGTAAGGTGTCTGACATCAACCTTTTGCCTTTCGCCGGTGATCGTCACAGTCTCCCCCACCTTTTTGCAGCCCTATTCTTCGCCAGCATCCTAACAGCTTCAGCACAGCGCTTGATACAATGCTCAGTTTGCAACAACTTTGGGAGCATCATGAACCACTTATGCGGCGTCCGTTCGTAAAAATACCAGAGCACGATAACGCCCTTCTTCGCCGCCGTCTGCGCAATCACTTTCCCGGAGTCTGCAAGCCGCTCTTGCTCTATCCAGCAGACTAGAAAGAGCCTCCAAAGACATAGACAATCGTGATCTTGTTCTTGACGTGTCCATTTATATCTTTGAACTTCTCCTCTTCTGTGTTTGTGTGAAGGACGTCTACTGAGCTCACATCAGGGCGAGGACCGGTCCACTCAACTGTAACATCCGGGATGGTGGGAATGGTATACTGCTCATCTCCACGACCTAACAAACGTATTGCACTATCAACTAGGTAGCAGATATCGCTTTCCTCGGGCCCAGGGGCCAGAAAAGTTGCATGGCTGACCCAGAGAGGGTCCTTGGTCCCAGGCTGTCGCAATGATCGCTCCCGGATGGCGGAGAGCGGCAAATCCTGGTAAATGCGCGAAAGAGCCGACCTGACCTTCTCAACGAGCGCGGTAATTTCATTGCTGTTGAGAGACGCTATGACCACAATGCTAGCTATAGTGCTAGGAGATTGCGAAGTGAGATACGCGTATCAAAGTCATGAGACGATTTTCGAAAAATGTCGAACTTGAACTACTGAATCATCTTATAAGATAATGCATAAAAGCAGCGGCAGAAATGTGCTGATGTGTGATATCGTTGACACTTTGATGGTAAGCCGGCAGTGAAGCTGACCTGGTGAGCACTTGTTGGTGAGACTATCCGGATGATGCCGTTTGCTTTAGTGTTTCCTTGTGCAGGATAGGATACCTGATGCATTATTGATCCTGCCATGGTCAGTCCGCTTCATCCACTAGGTGACCAGGAGACCTTTCCTGCAGCTGCTGTGAACCATGCATGCACGATAATGCTGTACAGGAACAGTAGGCACCTCCAGTCTCACCCCACACCTGCCTGCCGCAGCAACGATCCGGAACGTCAGCCGACTCGGTTATACTTGCTCCCACGCCCACAGGAATCCCCTTAGTCTCACATGGGGAGCGTAAGGTAGCCTTTTACAGCGCTCCAAGAAGCAGGATTCTCACCGCTGTCACCTACCTTGCACGCATACCCTCACAGGGTGGATTCTCAAGATAGCGCCACTGGTCCCGATTGGCTTTTAGCGCATTTCACAGTAGGTATTCGTCCTTCCGACCTACATAGATCATCAATCATACAAACCAGGTACATATCACAGACGCACTGATACACGTACTTTATATGAGCGACACATCTGACGTCGTATATAACGTAGTGAGTGGGTGTGGAAACTGGAAATTGTATGTACCTCTCCCAGCCTGTCACACATGACAATATCCACCTGAAGCTTTCCAGCTTGGCCCTATCTGATCATTCACAACGCACGACTTTAGAATATTAGCTCCATAGGTCACTTTAAGCGTCATGAGCACTCTTCCGAGCTACCGACCGAATTCATCAACAAAACCCGCCAGCAACTGGAAAGTGCGCGCAAGGTTACACTTTCTACTGTCCAGCGAGCATCCCTGATCGACCCGAATATCAAAGGACCATCCTGGATAAGCCGTACCAGCTTTCCAGCGTCCATGGGCGAAACGGATGGGCCGCAGAGCGTGTTTGAACGAGCCATTAAGGCACTGGGCGGTGGAACGGATCAATACACACAAGACCCTCAATTGAGGATGTTGACGCTCGATGGACCGGTCGTAGAGTAGGGGTGGGAGAAGAAGAGGCTGAGCCCTCAGCTTCAGAGCAGCAAGAGTATCGAGGTCTGATGAAGGATATTAACAGTCCTCTAACCATCATGTACTTCCATGGTGGAGGCTTTATGTTCGTCCTCCCCTCTCTCCTCCACCCGCGGCACGCCTGCATATGCAAGGATTTAACTATTAGCAGAATGGGCACTCCAGGACGGTATCATTAAGTCGTTGCCAGATTCGTCCAATGCACTGGAGGCCGCTGCCTTTCATTTCGATACCGTCTCGCACCTCAACATCATTTTCCCGCTGCCCTCCTCGACGCTCTTGTCTGCTATTTATCTCTCCTTCATCCTTCATCTGGTGCCTTTCTTGAACCCGTTCCTCCACCATCCATCGTCCCCGCAGGAAACAGAGCAGGCGCAAATCTCGCCCTCGCACTCACACAAATCCTCTTGTTTGCCTGCTCCTCGACCCTACTATTCTACGGCACAGAAGTTTCACTCCCTCTACCCGCCTGCATTGCCGTATTAAACGCGTGTCTAGATGTGACTCTCGGTTTCCCTTCCTGGCAATCCAACGCCCTCTTCGACATTTTTTCTGATACCTGGTCCTTCCTCCCACCATGCTATCCCACATGCAAAATCTGGCCTTCTGACCCACCTAGGGCCACGCCTACTGTGAGATTAGCGCGAGGCTTCGCCCGCTCGTCGCGCCAGCCTTAGCACGTAGCTGGAAAGGCGCGCCGGCAACGTGTTTCCCCGGCAGATAGGAACGATTCGCCGACTTGGCGAAACCGGCTGCGGAAAGGGCTGCCCGCCAGGGTGGACAGGTGTGGTATGAAGAGTATGAGGAGATGCCTCCTGTTTTTCCGGTCATGTCTGCTACGTGGCCATGGGCGAAGACCGAGGAGTGGCCGCAGTCGGTGAGATGTGTCCAACGGTGGGTAAATGCATGTAGTGTTTGGGGAGGGTGGATCGATCGGGACGGGTGCGGTGGTGGTTTTAATTGGAGGTGGAGAGAGATTGACCGGATTTGGGGCTGAGGAGGTCACTTCAATGGTTAGGGAGAAGCAAGAGGTGTGGAAGCTTTTTACTGGGCGGGAAATGGCGAGATCGTGGCTTTAGAGGTTGTTCATACCGTACCCAAGCTCTTGGATGTGTCTGAGCGTAGTCTAAGCCTAGCATGTTATGCACCACAGTCCACCTAGTCCCATTCAAACAAAAAGTTGTGTATTTTTAGCCTTAAGAACTTGGTGGTTTCAGCTGACACCGATCTCCCTGTTCGGTGAAGAAAGTCAGATGTGTCCATGATCATAAATGAGGGCTATGTTATTCACTGACAAAAAGCTATGAGATGCTTCATGGACTTACTATTCGAAGATGCCAGTATATCTGAAGTGCGAGCTTCGCTGTCTCAAAGGAGGTCACTTTATGCACCTTTATTCATTCGTGGTTGCTTACTTCGCCGCTATTAAACGAAGTAAACGCCGCTAGACTTCATACATATTCAACAAGCTAGTTCAGGTTACGACGGGCTAGCGTAGCTGATGGATGCTCAGAGCCTTTTGATTTCTCGGATTCATTCAATGCCCGCTGTTGCATGTCGTCGGCCTTCATCTTCTTGCCCTAATCAGCATGATAGCGCCTCAACCATTGAGTGTTAAGTATAGGTATATGTTCGAGGCCTTATGCTTTCACCTTCATCTTCTTGTTTCCATTATCTTACCTTGATCTTGGAACGGTGTGAAAATGGGTCTCCAAAGAGGGCCAACGCCATCATTTCATAACGTGATACTTTGGGTACGTTCTTCGACAACCACAGCGCCAAGGAGGACACCAGGGCGGAGTCACGTGCCAGCCAACAAATCTAGACGCGTCGATCAGCCGCGCTCCCGAATCCTGATGTGATCCCTGCAAGCCAGATCGCGTGGCAGATGATACGTCATTTTCACGCTAATTCTCCTCACGCGTCATGGTCACGATCTCTCCCTCTTCTTATCCACAACAACAACACACTCTCCCTCACCACTCAACATTTCGTGCGACCTGCCAGATATCTACCATCAAGTCAAAACATCAGTACTTTACCATCATCTTCAACAGTACCAACCGCAACCATGACGGAGTGGACCAAGAAGAAGTACAATGAAGCCTACACCGAATACATGCCATGGATAGAAGATAAGGTCCTTGGCTACTGGGGCGAGAACAAGACTAGCTACACCGCCAAAGGTAGGATTACCTTCTCTTCATCTCTCTTCTCCTCTTCCCTCCTCTTTCCCTCTTTCCCTCCTCTTTCCCTCCTTCCCCTCTCCTCATACCCCGCTAACCCCTCTTCTCCAACAGACAAACTCAACACCGACGTCACCGGTGACAAGAACGTCCAAGCCATCCAAGGCGGCATCGCCGAAGGTGTCGGCGGCCAGTTCTCAAGCGGTGGTCTGTTGGGTGGGGTCGGAGACATGACGAGCAAAGAGGGGGTCAACCGCGCCGAGAGGGGGGACCCGGGATTGGACCCGAAGGAGTTGGAGAAGTTGAATGCGCAGAAGAAGCAGAAGGGGTGGACGGAGACGCTATCGATGGGGTATATGGGGGGCAGCAAGTAGGGCGGTGGTTGCGGGGCGATAGAGGTAGATGGACAGGTTGTTGTGGTAATTTGGATGAGATTGATCACTCTTGCTTACGAGCTTGTGCGCGTTGGGCTTTTAGGACGACTGGTCGTTGTGGTGGACTAATGTTGGAATGCTTGTACGTCTGTTTGATTTCAGGGTCATGAACAGGCATGCTCAGAGATATAGCCATACTGTTGATGCTCTACCTGTTGAAGCCTGAAGAGACATTCTGAGCGGCCATTTTCCTGTTGTTTCATTTGTGACTATTAGTTCTATCTGCGTCGTTTGGAATTGTCAAGGTTCTAGTCAGGATGTCCATACTCCCTTCCCAAAACCATATCCGGTACCGCAACATCGCGTCCAAAAGCTTTCGAAAGGTGACGAATTGCCAGTATGATACGCTCATGGCGATCCACATTTCAGACCAGATGTGGCAAATGGCCGCTCTAATATGGCAAATCCACGGCTATAGATCGTGATCACATGTCATCCAAAGCTCAGCAAAGATAGAATTTGACAAGCGTCCATGAGCTCTCCCTGCACAACTATGCCCATCTCGTTTCCAATCGAGCGGGAAGACCATCTGACAAGAGTCACACTCCTCCAAAGCGCCATTTCTCTGATTGAGGAAGGCCCAAGAGAGAACTTCACTTTCGAACCGTCATTTGCGCCACCAGGCTATGGCGAAAAAAAGTCCGACAGCTACCAATACGGCTACGAAAAGTTTCCGCAAAATCGACATCGGATCGTAAGAGCTGTCCGATCGGGGGGAGGGGCGGTGCGTAGGTAAGATCGCGCGGGTCTCATGCCTCCGCGCTTCACGCCTTTGGGCAAGGTATCGGTCCACTTCCGCTGCTGCACCCTCGCGCGAGCGAGCCACGGCTTGCAGAGTCGAGGTCGCCGTCGGTGCTCGGACCAAGTATCTCGCGGGCTCTGAAATTCGGCGCGGTGGCACGGTCGGTCGGTTGATGGAGCCGTATTGGGCGAGGCTGTTTGCTTTCATGGACTCTAGAAGATCCCACCCGGGCGAATAGGTGGTGGATGGATGGAGGGGGCTTTGGGGCGCAACTGATGTTCCGCGTCCCAACGGGGCCTCTGAACCAATGTACTCGAGCAATTTTGCAAATGAGTCTGGCCTGAGTCTGAACCGTTCACCCGTCCTTTGCTCTCGGTAGTGGCGCTGCAGCAGCGCCCATTCGATCTGACGGGGGGACTCGGTGTTGACATAGCTCATTTTACGAAGTTCGATATCCTGGTCAAGAAAAAGTAGGATGCCGTTGTCAGGGTGGACAGGAGAGGGGTGTATTGGAAGGTGAGAGGCACGAACACGCGGTATGGAAGAGTGTTCATTAAGACTCTTGCCACCGAAAGAGGTGAGCTATCACAGTTAGTATGCGCCGAGAACATAGTGCTTCCAACTGAATCATTGGAGACTTACAATGAGCACAACAGCCTTTCTTTCGCGCTGGTCAGTGGAGAGAATCACGACAGGATGGTCAGAGCAGCCATCGGGGATTTCAGAACCCGAAAGCGAAAAGGGTTCGTCATCTCGCGGTTTTGGTAAATAGGAGAGTTGGCCAGGGATAAAGACTTCTGCTTCAACGTTAATTGCAGTAGGCATTGGCAAGGCTTCGGGCTCTCGATAACAGTTGGCGCAGAGTTAAATGGGATTGAAGTAAAGAGCAGCATTTGTTATATAAGTAAATGAGATATATTCGCTCGTTGAGAGTATGACTTGGCTATTTGAGAAACATGTTTTGGCATCCGAGCGCCCTGCCCCACCTGTGGCCGAGGCATCCTGCAGCAACCAATCATCGAGTGCACTCATGACGTCGCAGAGTGGCTCGTAAAAAGAAGCGCTCGCAGTACATCAGGGTTTGGAAGAAGACGTGGAGAAATCATCACCAAGACTTTCAATGAAGAAGCTTTACGCTATGTTTCCCAAGCGGCGCTTTGCACCTAGCTTTGTATTTTTGTCTTCTTGTCTACCTCAGTAGGGGTTTCGATACCTAATCACTCGACATTGATAGGTCTAATCTTGTAGCTGATTGGGGTGGATTGGTACTAGTACCTTGCATTTACTCTGTTTCGCACAGAGTACATGTTGGCAAATGAATAATAGACTTAGAATCTCACGCTATCACACTTGCGTCGTCGATTAATCTTTCTCCGTTCCTCAAAACCGTGACAATATCCGGGCCAGTGATTTTGATTTTCTTTTCTTCCAACGTCTAGAACTTTTATATAGATCTTCATACTCTATCGATCTAATGTTGTATCAGATACAGTTTTTATGAATTGATATATGAATTTAGAGGTAGCTAGGTAAGATGGTTTCGCGATTAGCCAAATACTTGTAGCCCAAGCTACTGAAACCTTATGAGGCCTTTTGTATCTTTGCGCCCGGGCCGTTTTCCGAGCCTCTTCTGTCACGCGCTTGACAGCACGCGCATTGGCGCAATCTTGCATCTCCATAATGTTGATAGAGTTGAGACCATATAAGGTACCTCTGATGGGCCAAGCCTTCTTCCAAGCCTCCGTGATGAGCAGCCAATCTGCCAGGCGGAGTTATGGCCATAGAAATGTGAAGGGTTTTGGACTGACCCACCAGTCCCAAGACACTGTGAGACGTGGTCCCAACCTCAAAAGAAGCATGTGTTCGATGTCATAATCATAGAAAGGTATGGTGTACAAGTCAGTTGCATCGGTCTTGCGCTTAAGGCCAAGACTCGTGACCTTCGCTTGCAAGGCAAGAATCTGCAGCCAGCCATTGGCTGCTAGGCTCCGAATCACTCCCACACGAAAAGAGGGGTTTCCTTGGTACCTGGGCCTGCTTTTCGTAGCGGTGGCGGCCTACCCTGCTAGCCAGGTAAGCCTTATCAATGAAATAAGATATATTCGTCAAGAAAGCGATGCTATCCCTTTCCTTGTGCTCGGGAGGGCCACGCTAGTAGGAGGGGATTAATGTAGTTCCGGCCGTCTTGGCATCAAAACTGTAGTTAAAAATCGAGCCCGCCAACTAGGAAAGCAGCTATCTATACCCATTAGACCCACTTTATGTATAACATTAGATCAAACGCGGGTCACCTAATTAGCCTGTATCGCTTAGATCTTAGATTACTATATATTGGGATTGTAATTAGAGAGCTTTATTTCATGGCTGCGTCACCCAAATTTCTTATACAAAACCCGAAACCGAAGTTCTGCCGCTTTTTTATAAAATGACAATTATGTATAGCTTCAAAATATCTTCATGTAACAACTACATATTCAATCGTAGAGTGCTATAGTCATATCGCACAAATCGCAATATTATTTAGAGTGAAATACATTACTTAATAATGAAATCTGAGTCTGACGTCTAGATTAGCCAATTGATAACCCCGTCTTGCTCCCTCCAATAGCGTGGCCCTCCCAAGCACGAAGAAAGGGTAAAGGCAGCCTTTCTTAAACGGCGCAGGAAAATACCAACGCAAATATTTCGCGGACCGTTGAAGCGGGCCGGTGAACTTCGTTCCTCGCCCACCCTCTCCAACGTCTCGTCTTATTCCCTCTGACTTGCATCAAGACGCAATAATATATCGCTCAGCCCTACCCCCGGCAGCCGAGTCGAACTAGCTGAAGTCCTTTCTCAAATAGCAGTTATACTGCCGGGCGCGTCGCTTGCGATATCGATTAGCTGAAGGGAGTACATTTCCCCACTCACGGGAGTGAGTGAATATTGGCATATACTTGAGTTACCACCTCAATATCCGAAATCCACACTCTCTCATAGGTCGCTTACATTTCAGCGTCGCAATCGATTCTAGCTCTTTACCTAAAGCTCTTTCGTCCACGGTGGAGAAGGAGGATAGCTAAAGGATTCTTCAAAGGAAAAGCCCCTGACAGCGAGCGTGAGTCTATCGAAACTGACGTGAGCCGGGCTCAATCGCCCGGAGCGTTCCTCTACCTAATCGAGTCCTCCACCCTCCCGCTCGTTTCGGGCGCAATCCTCATGCGTGAAATCTTCAGCCTGGTCCTATCATGCATGTGCCCCACCATCTCCGCAAGAATGCAGGAAAGACAAGCTGGATTGCCCTATTTCCCATTTTGCAAACAAATCTCCTTAGATTTTCCTCTCCTCGCAATTCGCTTTGGTGTGATGGAATTACCTTCCTCCTGCTTTCAAACCAAGTGACCATTCAAAAGATTCATGCCAGACGAGATGAACTACTCAGCCTGGCCGGCTCTTGCTCCGCCTCCCGGTGTACTTTCAAACTTCACTGATCCGAAGACTTTGTCGACTAGTCTCGTAACCGACAACGCTATCTTTCTCTCCTTGATGCTCATAGTCGTGGGAATTCGACACTATTCTCGGGCTTTCCTGTCGCACGCCGTAGGATGGGATGACTGTAAGTGCCGAATGAAGACCTTGTGCAGTACTGGGCCTACGATCTTGAGATATGTGTCTTCTGGCCGCGGTGAGTCTTTTTGAGAGATACCGCAACACACATTCTGACAGGTCCCATTAGCTTTGCTCAGCCGCCCATACTTTCATGACTCTCTGCAGTGAATACTTCCGCTCTGAATATGAGACGCCGCTGACACACAGAAAGTCATTCAATATGGATATGGGAGGCATCTGTGGGACATTCGCGCAATCACTCTGCTTCCGTCTCGACTGAAAGTAAGAGACTCGCAAATGGTACGCTCAGTTTGAGGCTGCCCGCCGCTAATACGGAATCAGCAAATGGGCTCCATGGGCATCATCGGATCCGCCTCAACATTGAGCATTAAAATATCGATCTTCTTACTCTATCTCCGCCTTTTTCGTGTGAATCAACGGTTCAGGTACTGGGTCCATTCCGGCATGCTCTTCTACATCTTATATACGGCAACTTATTGGCCGTTCCAAACCGCCAGCATAATTGAATGCAATACGCCACAGAGTCTGAACATCGCAATCTGTGCCAACAGTGACATTACTACCGTTGTAATTACCGCGATCAATGTCGTGACCGATTTTTATGTTCTCGCTTTGCCTATTGGAATAGTCGGACGACTTAATGTTAAACGTACCAAGAAACTTGGCCTTAGAGCCGTCTTTCTGTGCGGTCTTATGTATCCACCCCTGCTCATACTACTAGACCATTGGGGTCTTTGGCTAACCTCCTTCGAATAGCGCAAGTCTTGCAAACGTCGCAAAACTTATTTATGCGACTTTGCATCTCAATGACCAAGATTCCGCTGCATTAACGACTGAATTCGCGTGAGTCACCCTTCCTGGCTGTTCCATCCAAGGGTACTGACACCACAAGTATCGTCGAGATGAACCTTGGCACCATCGCGGCCTCTATGCCAGCACTGCCGCAATTCTTTGCTAAAGCCCGGATTTTCCATGCCTCCACTTATAGCTTTTTGCATCGCTTACTCAACAGACGTGACCCGTCATCCCTCTCCTGGTTCGGTCAGTCATCGAAAAATCTGGCTTCGGGGTACCCAGAAAGGCAGCGTGGTCCTGCTGTTCGAGGTGAGAACCAGACTGAACTACAAAGCTTGCCCGATGTACGAGCATACAGTGATACACGAGGACCGACGTGAGTCATGATGACGTTGCCCTCGGCGGATCTCAACGATTGATAAGCTGAATCCTAAAGCTATTATGTCGCGCGCATTTTTAATGCTGGTAAACTTTGTATCTAATGGAAAGGGGTGGCGGTGTCCTAGAACCTCAAAGACATCATATAGGGTTTCCATTTCGCGCTGTCTTTCGGGCTTTCTTCTGCGCACATGTCTCGCTTCGCGCTGCGATATTCCCCTAGTGCTTGTTCCACCTGGCGTCTTCCCACTCAAATTGCTCATATTTAAAGTAGAAAGCCCGCGGTCGACGATGTGTCCCATGGTTCCCAAAGTCGCCAGTAACAGATCGCGTTAAGCCATCGTGAAACTCGTTGCGAAACGGAGAACAAAAAGCAAGATCGATCAACCAATCCCAAGATACACTCAAAATCCGACCTAGGTCAAAGACAAGCCGACGTGGTCTGTCATACAACATCGAAGATGAACAGGGGTAAGTAAGTTGCTTTTGTGCGGCATGTTCTATTTTCTAAACCTGGAGGTAAACTAGGATATCGTATCCTCCGCTCGCTAAAACCTGCAGCCACTTTTCGCCCACCGTTCTGGCATCATATGGAGCCTTGGTATTCGCGAAGAGCTCGTCAGGAGTGTTCTATTTCTTGAGAGAGCCCGTGGATAGGTTTCTTGGCCATGGTCCGAATGAGCGTCAGCTGTGGCCCACAAGGGTGCATGGAGATTCAATCCGTGGCGTAGCAGTGTTCGAAGAAACGGCTCCCGTTCTGGCGAATTGGCCTAGCACGGATTTATCTTGTTATTCTTATAATACTGGGCGTACTGCAACCACATGTACTCCGCGCCTTCCAGCGATCCTTCGTGGTAATCAAACACGGGGCAGAAAGCCAAGTCGTCATCATCTGCAAATTGTAGGAGCATTCTAAGGTGTAAATCTTTCGCTTCGTAGTTCCTGCGCTGTCACACCTCGATGTGTGGAACCCCACTACTCTGAATGGTTTGCTATTGACCGATATAGCGAGTTCACCTTCGGATCTGAAAGGCTACTTACATATTGGGCCATAAGATGGTGGGCTCAGATTCTCGGCCTTATTGAAGCAGCCAAGAGCACAAATCGGGCCTGTGCACCCCGCGGCGACCTATGTAGGAGTAGCTCCCATTTGACCCGGTAGTATGAAGCATGTTATAGTCTGACATGAAAGAGGGTGAATTCATATTGATCTACTGGGAACGGCGATAGTTGTCCATTGGTGAATGCGGTTTGTAGTCTTTGAATGTCGCCGTTTCTACACATGTCCTCTGCTTGTAATAGAACTGGCGATAAAGAGCTCATCACAGGATATGTTCTTAGTGACCTTGAGACTCGGCCGAAAGAATCTGGCACCCGTAGCTCCAAAGCGTCTTTCAGGAAAGATGGTCTGATAGAAGAGATACTATCCTCATATACAGAGGTCCTCCGCCGATCTTGAGAATTGCCAGTGAGTTTTGACTTAGCGTCAACAATGATATTGCACAAAATAGCTTGTTATCATACTTCACTCTTTTTGTGTTTGACTGTGAAAGAACTAGCTCCTTTGAATTCCACCAGAGGCGGATGTGATGCCGCTGGGGTACCACAGTCTTTCGAATGGTAGACTGTAGATTCCTTGTTTGACCCAAAACATCAACGTGGGACTTGATGTCCTGCTCCAATTCTGTGACTTACAACTCGGCTGTGCAAGTAGCGGAATCCTATAAAGGACCAGCACAAGTGATTTGGATTTGATGTACACTCAATGACTTTTAGTACTCTTCACCTACGTAAGCTTCTGGATACTTACTCAAGATTGTTTGAATTGATCATGGGAGCGGTCAGCAAATCCCACGTAGACTCTCTGAGCTGAATCTGGAATTTCCGAATCTGATCCTTCTCCGTCAAAAGTTTCATGGCCGCCAATCTCCTTTGCATGAGGCTTTGGTAGTTCAAGGAGATTGTGAACACGTCCACTAACTTTGCAAGCACTCCAAATCTGCTTTCGCAGACTTTCATTGCGCTGCTGATGCGCTGCGAATTGGGTAAAAGTGCACAAGAAGTCTGTTGATGAACGAAGGCCTGGACTTCTGCCATGTTTTGCTGTACCTGGTCGAGAGTCAGCAATCTCAAGTAATTCTCTTCGTGCATCGTGAAGGCTGCGTACGAACTTGCTGATATCGTAGGCAGTTGCTATGAGCTGGACAATGCAGAAGCGCCAGATATGGCATCCATAGCACTATCGTGAAAGTACTCAGACTACAAGTAGTAGTCTTGTCTGTCTTTGGAAGGGAGATCGATGTTCGAGAGAACGTGGAGGGGATAACGCTGCGCTGAGGCATTTGATATTGAAATTACCAGCAGAGCGGCTCTTTTGCCGGTACGACATTCTTGACTTAACAACAAACAGATGAGCGATAGACAATTGCATCCTGATTCGGCAAACCAGTGTCGTGGGATCTACCCATGCGCGGCAGCCACTCATCATCGAAAACGAACCCGAATTTGCAGAAACACTACCTCCTTCAGGAGAAGTGACCATGTATAAATCCGTACTGTGAGCATCTTCGAGGGCAGAAAGCACACAGCCTGCCAGGCCACGTTACCGAAAGCACAACGGATTACGCCAGCGCGAGAGCCTGGTACGTCATGGAACGACAGACTTGATGCACATGATTCATTCAGAAGGGGTGGAACTCAAGGCTGAAAGTAATTGACGATGCTCTCCCGACTAACGAAGAACGGAGTGGTACTGCGTATAAGGTCGAAAGAAACCAGAAATTTGATTTGCCTTTTCAAGACAACTCGTCCACCAATAGGAGGATGCCGAGAGAGGGCAACCGGAAATCCAAATCGGAACACTAGAGTCTAAGGTCATGTATCTTCGGATCCATCCCGACGAGATGCTCATGGATTGATTTGGTCAGCCGAAGTGTGGTGCTGCCCAAATAAATCCTGCTCTGACAACAGGATGAACTGAGCCCAGCGCCAAATTACCCAGTCAGATCTATTCCCTGGCTGCACTTTCCTTTCAGCACCTCCTGGGATTCATTAGTTGCTGCAAAGTATCTAGGTTCCAGCTCAGCTCACATAAAGGTCAGGCCGGAATCCCGCTTTGATTGAGAGGAATAAGCTACGAAAGAATGACGACTTTGGGTAACATGGGAGATTGAAGCAAGAGTCATGTATAGATGGTGAAAGCCCCAGTGATAATCATACAGTTCAGGCGCGGTCCCCAAAAAAGGGTGACAATCATCACAAGGTTTCCCTAGATATTGTCATATGTGTTACCTGCAAGGAAACTTTTTTTCTATGCACTTATACCTTTTTACTGAATATCGTTATGACAAGAAGAGCGAATCTGTCTTGGTCGACATCCCAAAAATATGCGCAAATGAAAGCAAAGGTGAGATGATAGGGCTGCTAGCGCCGATCTGGAGACAGACTTGGCGCCCAGTCTCGTACCAATTGGTGCCCGCCTTTTACTTCTCTCGACGCTTTGACTTTCGAAGCAAATCACTTCGGCTCGACATCCAGATGGGAGACAGCGGGGGAGGCACCGAGGTCACATACGATTCGCTGGAGCATGTCCTGAGGAATGATACCAAGGTCAAAGTCGCCGGCATCGACATCGATGGCGTCCTCCGCGGCAAGCTCATGTCCAAGAAGAAGTTCCTGGGGATCGCAAAAGATGGCTTCGGCTTCTGCTCCGTCATTTTCGGCTGGGACATGCACGATCAGACATACTTCAAGGAATTGAAGATCAGCAATGCCGAAAATGGGTACCACGACATCATTGCCGTGCCGGACTTGAGCAGCTTCAGGAGAATACCTTGGGAGGACGATGTGCCCTTCTTCCTCGTCAGCTTCCTTGATCCGGACCATCGAGGTCCAATCAGTGCCTGTCCGAGAGGCCTGCTCAAAACCGCGGTCGAGAAGTTGGAAAAGCAAGGCCTGGGGGCGATGGCTGGAGGTGAGAGATCTGGACCCACTACGGATATCATTGTGCACAGGAAGTCCTGACTTTGTGCTGCCGGACTCCGCTGACCTGGCACCCGATAGCTGAGTACGAGTTCTTCCAGTTCAGAGCGCCTGTCAACAACGCGATAGATCCCAAAGAACGCAACTCGTCCTCTACCGCAAAGTTCCTCCAGGAGAACTCGCACAACGCGCTTCCACCTCTCACAGAAGGCATGTTTGGCTACAGCCTGACGAGGCCAGTCCATAATCAAGAGTACTACTATGGCATCTACGACGCTTGCGAGAAATTCGGGTGCGGGATTGAAGGGTGGCATACCGAAAGTGGTCCTGGAGTCTTTGAAGCAGTATGGAAGCCTTCTATTCAACATAGACCCCGAGCTCATGATTATACCAGGCCCTCGAATTTGGGGAGGTCAAGCAGATGGCGGATAAAGCTGGGCTGTTCAAGTCGGTGATGCCCGGAGGCCCTCCACATTCCCGCACTGCTAAGAACCATGCAGATACGTCGTCAAATCCTTGGGCAGTAAATTTGGCATCACCCCCTGCTTCATGGCCAAACCCCCGAGAAGGCCTTCCTGGCAATTCTGGCCATATGCACCTGTCGATCGTTGACAAGTCAGGCAAGAACATGTTCTATCGTGGGTCGAAGGATCCCCACCCTCCATATCAGGACCTTGAATACCTCTCTGATATGGGACGTCACTTCCTAGCTGGTCTATTAGATGGGTTACCAGATGTCATGCCTATTGTTGCGCCTACCATCAACTCTTACAAGCGACTCGTCGAGAACTTCTGGGCCCCTGTGACCGTATCGTGGGGACTGGAGCATCGAGCTGCTTCAATACGACTGATAGCGCCACCGACCGCAAGTGCAAAGGCTACGAGGTTCGAAGTACGTGTTGCCGGCGCGGACGCCAATCCCTTCCTCGTGCTGGCAGCCATTCTCGCCCTCGGTTGGCGCGGCGTGGAGAAGAAGCTGGAGATCAAAGTGCCGCCTCTGGGCAAGGGGCAGAATGTTGGAGGTGCATCAGATCAAGGGGTGCGCCTTGCAAAAGGATTGAAGGAGGCTACGGTGCAGATGATGAGGCGGGAGAGTGTGGCCAGGGAAGTCTTTGGGGATGAGTTTGTGGAGCACTTTGGAGGCACGAGAGAACATGAGATCAGGCTATGGGACGAAGCCGTCACTGATTGGTGAGTGTAGCATGCAAGAGGCTTGCACAAGTGCTGACACAACAACGCAGGGAATTCAAAAGATACATTGAGACGGTTTGAAGACGAGGTGTTAAGCCAGTTGTTTGATCAGTCCGGTCTCTCTGGCTTCTGATTTTCTTGGGAGTCGTGGAATCCATGTTTGGGTAGTTCAAGGCTCCGATGATACCCTGACAGGCGTCCAGGCGACCAATTGATAAGTAGGTACTTTGTGCGAAAAAGATCGAACGGTGCGCGACATGAAGCTTGATGC